GGGGGGGGGGGTCCAGGGAGGGGGAGATCGAGGGGGGCCTCCCCAGGGATTCTGGTTTCCTTCCCCGTAGGCCCCGAGGTTTGGGCTGGTGTGAACCCCACTCACCTAGGTGGGGCAGGCCATTGGCTCCCGCCCAGGCCGCGGGACACTGTGCCTGGGAGCAGCAGGCAGAGCAGGCTGATGCAACCGAATGTGACCGGCAGGGGCCGGGCCATGGGGGCGGGGCTGGAAGGAGTGTGAGCCAGGTAGCTGTGGGGGGGCAGTCCTCACCGCCTGCCACCCCTAAGCCCGGCACATTGGCAAGCCCCAGTGATGAGGGGTGCAGGCGGCGTGGACACAGCCAAGCTTGTACCTGTGTCTGTCGGCGAGAGGGTCTCAGGCGAGAAGCGGGCCGGGGGGTTGCTGTCTGTTGGCTGGGCAGAGGGCACCTGGCAGGTGGAGGACCTCCTCAGCCAGTTTGCCGTCTGTGGGTCCTGCCGGAGACCTGGCCTCCGCATCACCAGATCTAAATAGTCTTTCCAGGAGGAGGCGGAGCCGGATGCCCCAGAGGGGCGGGAGCCCGGCTGTCCTGCTCCCCGCTCCTGCCTAGCCTGACAGGGGCCCCATCCCACTGGGAAGTGCTCAGCGACTGGCCAGGGAGCCCAGCGGCCACCAGCCTCATCTCTGGTGCCTTCTGGTGGGGGACACTGTCCTGGAGCCTGGCAGTCTTCTAGGAGTGGGCGGTAGGGGTGCAGTCAGCCAGCCACCCACCACCTCCTGGTCCCGAGGGTCGGCTCCTCAAATGTCTGCCCTGATGAGTGTCCTGGGAGCCTGGCCAGAATCACGGCTGGAGAACGCAGGCTAGATATTCAGTTCCTCACAAAGCTGATTTGGAGACCCTTCCTCAAGATCCCCTCGCAGCTGTGTTCTGAAGAATCTCTACCCTCTTTTTCCACACTACCGAAGTCCTGAACGGTTTTTGTAAGAAGTTTAAGTACAACGTGAGACCCTTGCTTCGCCATCCACTATGGATTCTTCTGGGTGGGCATCCCATTCCCAACTTTCTCTTATGTATGCTAGTACATTTAGCTGGGGGCAGGTGGTAGTGTGTGTGTATTACGCATGCACGTGTGAGTGAAAATATATGTAAACAGAGAGACCTCCGTTCTTTTTTTTTTTTTTAATGTTTTATTTATTTTTGAGAAAGCATGAGCAGGGGGAGACACAGAAACTGAAGCAGGCTCCAGGTCCCGAGCTGTCAGCACAGAACCCGACGTGGGGCTCGAACTCACAAACTGTGAGATCATGACCTGAGCTGAAGTCAGACGCTTAACCAACTGAGCCACCCGGGCACCCCGAGACCTCCATTCTCTCCTACGGTTGGCCCTACTCCAATACGTAGGTGCTCTGTAACTACTTAACTGATTTTTATTAATGAGCAATCAGGCCATTTCCAGTCTTTCCAAGAGTAAGAACCCTTCCGTTGTGAGCTCACAAAAGTGTCCGTGAAGGATACTTTCCTAGAAGTGGAAATTCTGGTTGCAGGTGAACCTGTGTTTGTGCTGACAGACGTTGCCGACTTCCTCTCCACGAAGCCTGTGCCAGTCCACTGTCAACCGATAATGGATTTGACGTTAGCAGGTCTTGGTGTCTTTGTCAGTCTGAGAAGGGATAATCACCCCATCATCCCCACCCCAGATGTTTCTTTGATCATCTGAGCATCTCTGTGTCCGTCACATTTCCTCTTCTGTCTTGGCTGCCCCAGTCCAGCTCCCTCTGTAAAGTCATCACGGATGACCTGGTCACTCTCTGTTCCCCCTGCTGTGCACACCATGGGAGCTCAATAAACATTTGCTGGATGAATAAATCAACAAGTGTTGAACACATGCCATATGAAAGAGCTTGTTTCACGTCCTGAGGAAGGTAGGGAGGCATCAGCAGTTATTCTGGTTTCTATTTGTTTATTTATTTTTACCAGCTGGGGGAGGAGAGTGATGCCATCATATTTATCTTAGAAAAATGCTGCATAGCAGGAGGGGTGTGTGGGGCAGAGCAGCCGGGTCAGAGAGAAAGGAGTGTCACTGGAGGGCAGGTGAGGAGCGTCAACCGTTCTGTTTGCTGATGCAGGAGCCCCTAGGGAGAGGGTAGGGGTTGGCTCCCTGAGGTCATCCTGGCAGAGGTGTCCGGCTGCCGTCTGGCCTCATGGGTCTGGGCTGAAGAGAGGGCAGACCTGGAACACAGTTCTGGGGTTTCACAGATGGCAAGGCTCTGGGAGGTGAGAGGTATGGTGAGCTCTGTCCACAGAGAGTGAAGAGAGGGGACAGAAGCCGCATGCCAGCTCTGGAGGAACAGCCGGGGAAGGGGTGGGCAGAGGCCCCCGGGGCGGCGGCTCTGCAGCGGCTTCTCCTCTTGCCAGCCCCTCCCCCCAATCTGTCTGGCACACTGATTCCAGGGCCATCTTTCCAAAACTCAAAGGTGATCACATCACTCACCCTTCCGATAAAGAAAAATTAAATCAAACTTCTTTGTCTCCACAAGATTTTTAATCTGGGAAAGTGGAGGGAGACCTCAGTGAAGTTCACAGGCCATGGCTCGCTGCGTTCCTGGGCCTGGGGTTCTACCTCCCCAAACCCCACAGGTGGATGGCGTGTCCTCTGGCCCTCAGGTCTCAGTCTACCTGCTTATTTTGCCCCTGTCCCTCCCGACTGGATGAGAGGCCCCCTCCACGATCCCACAGACCCCTCTATAGCACACCTCATGGTACTATTGTCTGTAACTGTCCACGTGCCCTCCAAGGAGAAACCGAAGGGCTTCCCTGGTGAGCAGAGACTGGGCCACAGGAGGCATGTGGTGCTGGTGAATGTTGTAAGGACTCTCTAATGAAGAAATCTGTGTGGGGCAAGAAAAGCTAGGGTGCAAGCTCGGTGGCTCGGTCGGATGAGTGTCCGACGTCGGCTCAGGTCACGCACGATCTCATGGTTCATGAGTTTGAGCCCTGCTTCGGGTTCTGTGCTGACAGCTCAGGGTCTGGAGCCTGCTGCAGATTCTGTGTCTCCCTCTCTCTATGCCCCTCCCCTGCCCGCACTCTGTCTCTCTCTCAAAAATAAATAAAACATTTAAAAAATTGAAAAGAAGAAAAGGTGGGGAGATTGAGTTTAATCCTGATGTCCAGGATCCGTAGGGAGAAAAAGATTGAGAATAGGGGGCATTGATAGGGAACAGCAAGTGGTGGGGGGCAACTTGGGGGCAACGCAACACAAGGCCTTCCATCTGATGGCTTTGTTTCCTCTGTGAAGGAGGGCCGGTGCGGTCATCTCTGAGACACAGCAGGTGGGATCAGAGACTGACCAGACATCAGCAGGCTGGGCAAGGGGAGAATGTCCATCTGCAGTTGGACCATGGGGTCATCACGGCCACTCTGCACTATATGGCGGTGCAGGACTGTGAGTGGCTGAGGTTTGCCAGGCGGGGACAGTGGGCTGACGAGGACACGGGCAAGATGACGGGCAATGGGAGTCACATTGGGTGGGGGTAAGTGGAGGAAAGGAGGAAGCCAGAGAGAGTCACTCCCTATAAGGAGGTTGACTCTGCTGTGGAGACAGGAGGCGGGAGAGCAAGCACAATTCTCCGGAGGAGGGGGAAGCAGGCAGAAGCAAGCACCTCTGACGGCGCCCCGGACAATGCAGCGGTCAGGAGACCCAATGGTGAGCAGCTCAGTGGTGGGGGTGTCATGGTCTAGAAGGACCCTAAACCTACGCTTGACCCTGAGGCGTCTCTGAGAGGGCTGCAAGGAGTGGGCTCCTTAGGGCATGAGGGTGGGGCGAAGGGTCTCCACAGCGTCTGAGGGACAGCCAGCCCTGGGCTTAGGGGCCAGAGGACTTGCCAGGGACCCTGCCTGTCCGCCCTACGCAGAGCTCAATGGTGTGGTCCTGCGGTAACGAGGGTCTTTTTGGGTATACGTGATGGAAACCAGCCGGGACCAAAAGAAGGACTTCTCAGCCTATGTACCCAGTACCAGACAGGAGCAGAGGAGGGTGTGACTGGGCCTGTGCCCCAGGAGGGGCGCCGGGGACAGGGTACCCCTGGTAGGGTCTCTCAGTTCTTGTCGCTGGGTTGAATTTCATTCATTCTCCAGCCGGCTCCTGCAAGGGAGTGGAATACGGATGCCAGCAGTTCGTTCCTTCATAGGTTCTGGCGCAGCCAAGCATCTGAAAACAAGCCCAGTCCTGCCAGCTCACTCTCTCCACCTCTGCAGCTCCTCTCCTCGCCTGTCCTGCCGTAGACCCCGTGTCCCCCTTGCCCATCCCTGTGGCACCGCGGGAGGGCCCTGCACAGCCCTGGTCCTTGTGGGTGGTGGGCACTGTCAGGGACTCTGCTGGGTGCAGTCTTCTCCCAGGCACCGGGGCGGCCTCCAGCGCTCACGGCTTAGGACGCGGCTCTTCACAGCGGGACGGCCAGCGCAACTTTTTAAAGGACTTGTGTTCAATGTCTCATCCCAGCTAGGTGGGGCTTCCAGGTGGGGCCCGAGCCATCCAAGGGCCGCGAACGCCAAGTGCAAGCCCTGAGCTCTCCCCCGGCAGTCGCCAGGCTAGCAGCCCCTGAAGGGACCAGGGAGGCCGGAGGGCAGGGTTGGGCCCTTCTGCCTTCCTCCAAACTGACAGCCCCGGGGTGCAGCGGAAGCCTCGGGAGCTCGCTGGAGCGAAACCCGGCCCCTCTCCGCCCCGGCGTAGGAGCCGGGAGCTCCCGGACCAGCTGCGACCGGGGCCGCATCTGCCGCTGACCCGCGCGAGCCGCCGTCGCTGTCAGCACCCGGGGGGCGGTGCCCAGGCCCCGTGTGGGCGGTGCTGGGCGGGGTCCCGCCCCCGGGAACCGAGCCCGCGCCGACTGGGCCAATGGGAGTTCGTAGTTACGAGCCCCGCCCATGACTGGGGGGCGGGGCGAGGCCGCGCAGGCGCACGGCGCGGCCGGGCGGGCCGGCTGGCTGGGAAGATGGCGGCGGGAGCCCTGGCCGCCGCCGCGGAGCGGG